AGGGAAGGAGAAGATATGCTGAGAAGTGAAGGGCCAGGGGTGCTGACCCCGTCTCCAGATCCGGACTCAAAAAGTCATGGCGCGGGGACTTGGGAATGCCTTTCTCAGCCGTGTTAGACCAGCCGGGATTCATCTTTCAGACGCCACAGCCTTGGCACGTGGGGGTGGAGACAGAAGGGAGAAAAGGGTGGGAGCAGTTCCGAGTGCGCGCCGGCTGCCATGGGCAGAGAGGGGCACGTCCACCCCCGTGAGGAGCTGCTGGGCGAGCACTGGGGAGCCGGGCTTGGCGGGGCAGCGGCCGCAGCAGCTCCTGTGGGAGTGCGCGCCAGGGTCCAAGGGAGAGCCTCTGCACGCCAGCGGGCTCGCCAGGTTCCAGAAACAGCTCGGGCAAGGCCTTTTCATGCCGCAGGGCACACCGTCGGTGAGAGTCTCTGTGAAGTGTATACAGTTCATTAACCAGGAAGATGTCTTCGTGGGTGAGTACAGAGTTCGTGAAGTGAAAGTCGCTCAGTTGTATCCGACTCTTTGAGACCCCATGGACTATACAATCCATGGAATTCTCCAGGCCAAAATACTGGAGTGGGTAGCCTTTCCCTTCTTCAGGAGATCTTCCCAACCCAGGGATCGAGCCAGGGTCTTCGGCATTGCAGGCGGATTCTCTACCAGCTGAGTCACAAGGGAAGCCCAGGAACACTGGAGTGGGGAGCCTATCCCTTCTCCAGCAGATCTTCCTGACCCAGGAATCGAACCCAGGCCTCCTGCATTGCAGGTGGATCCTTTACCAGCTGAGCCCTCAGAGAAGCAGAGTTAGGGAGAGCTACAAAAAGCATCATCAGCTGAAAGAATTTCTGCTTGTCCTGACCCCATTAAGTCCTGTGCCTTAGAGATAATTAATAAGAGGGCGCTGGTGAGGTGAGGGGGGTGGAGAATGAACACGGTGATCTTGGTGACAGTGAGCTTGTAGAATGGGCCCGCCGCTGAGCTAGCAGCTCATGTGCTTTGTCTTGTTCTGTCTACAAAATGATGCTCCTGGTACCTCCTTTATAGGTGAGAAAACGGAGGCACAGAGAGGCTAAGGCACTTGCCCAAAGCCACAGGGCGTGTGCTGGGGCAGGACTTTGGACAGAGGCCGTGTGGCCCCAAGAGTACAGTCGTCCCCCCTGGAGCGTGGTGAGATGAGGGGTCGAGCGAGCCCGGTGTCCCGGGGCTGCCCGCTGAGGGCTGCCCGCCTCTCTGTCCCCTTCACACCAGGTGAGCCCCCGGGGATCGGAGGCTCCGGCCACTCGGGCAGAGGGCTCCGGGGACAGGCGGGGCTGCGTCTCCTGATGGCCGGACGAACGCAGGGCCGTGCCAGGCCAGCGGACATGTGCCCGGGACTCCGTCCTCCTGCTCGTCCCCGGGGCTCCCTCGTCTTTGTCGCAGGACTCAGGTACTCTGGGTGTTTTCGCCGCAGGAGTGACTCTGACGTGATTTGCACCTGGGGAACGGAAGTGCCGTGACTGCGGTGGCTGCTGTTCTGGCTGAGTGTGTGACCCGGACAATGGCCAGGGGCTTCCAACCTCATCCGGCTGTTCTCGTGGGCCGCTCCCAGGCTCCTCTGGGGGTGCTGAGCACGTGGGTGATGCTGAGATTGAAGGCCGGCATCTGTTTTCAGAACAGCCCTGTCTTTATTCAGTTAAACCTCTAAGTACTCCGAGAGGTCAATACTGTGTCCCCTTCTTACTTAAGGAGCTGGTCAGGGGACACAGACAGTGAAGGACACCGACGGGACACAGGGGCAGGTCGTGTGACACCAGAGCCTGGCTCTCAGCCGCCAGGCTAGAGACCACGTCCCTGCCCAGAACCCTTCAGTGGTTTTCCCAGTTTCCATAGTGAAAGTGAAAGCGTTAGTCGCTCAGTCATATCCGATTCTTTGCAACCCCGTCCATGGACTGTAGCTTCTCTATCCATGGGGTTCTCCAGGCAAGATACCAGAGTCAGTAGCCTTTCCCTTCTCCAGGGGATCTTCCCGACCCACGAATCGAACCTGGGTCTTCTGCATTGCAGGTGGATTCTTTACTGCCTAGGCTTCCAGGGATGTAGTGTAGGTGGATGCATCTCATTCCTGCTAGGATTATATGCTTTGTCAAAATTACTTTTTAATTCTTATGATTAAATAAGAATTAATCATTAAATCTTATGATTTCTATCACTTCCAGGCCTGGGATGTGCCTTTGAATGCTAACAGTGGCACTTCCTACAGGAAGGCTTCCCAGATAGCCTTGTTTTGGGTTAGCTGTTTCCATCCTTCATCCCCATAGGCTTGCTGGCCTAGTGCTTGCTAGAGTATGTTTTCACTGTCTCTTCAATTCTCTGTCTGTCCCACTCAACTGGGGGGACCCTGCGTCCTCTTCATTTAATGTGTAGACAGGTACTTGGTAATTTAATCCATTAATTGATCCAACCTGTATATGAGACTGTAATAATTTTTACTGATAAGAATTATAACTGTGGTATAGATTTTAAATATTTAAGTTATTGTGGGGGGTACCATTCTGTCAGATTTGCTTGATGTTCTAGATGAGATCCCTAGTGACTGATACATTAAATACCATTTTGAAGAGATACCACAAAATAATTGAAAAACCCTTTCCCACAATCCCCAAAACAGACAAACCAAAAATAACCTCCACCTGAAGCATCTGTCTTTGAACGCCAGAGTCCTGCTGGTTTATACGTATGTCTGTCCTCTGGAATTACTGGTATTTTCCCTCCTGTATTTTCTTCCAGAAGTTTTGTAACTTTAGTCCTTACATTTAGATCTATGACACATTCCTAATTAGTTTCCCCACTTGGTATGAGGTTAGGACGAAAGTTCGTTTTTTTCCAAGTGGATCTCTGATTGTTCTGACTGTTCTTTGCCCCATTGTGTTGTCTGCATATTTGTCAAAAATCAGTTGACCACATACATGTGAGTCTATTTCTTGGACTCTCTTTTGTTCCGTTGATCTATAGGTCTGCACTTACACCATGCTGTCTTGTAGCTTTATACAAAGTTGTTCGATAACTGGGGTAGATTTAAATTCTGGACACTCTTCTATGATAATTAGTTGCAATATCGTATCATAACAGGTTTCATGCTTTTAAGATATCTGGTGAGTCCCCTACCTCAGTTGACCTGATGTCTGAAATCAGGCTGATTGTTAAGTGACAGGTAGAAATTCCTGATCTAGTTCGGCCTACCTTCGTAATTAAATATGCGAACAGACAAGGAATTCTCGAGCCCCGACTGTGCTGGTAGTAATGACTTCAGGCACTAGTTTCAGCTTTGTGCCCCGTCCCACCTTTCGTACAACCTGGTTACAGGGACCTTACACAAACCTGGATGAGACGTGGCAGAAAACACTGGCGGGAGCTGCCTAGGGGGTCAGTCTACAGCTTTATGCCATGTTCCAGAGCAGACACTGGTCCAACCTGAAGACCTGACTTACGGTTTAGAGTATTTACATAAATCTGCTCCTAGACACCTGAAATTATAGGAGTAAAAAGTATGTACTGTGTCTTTTGGGAAGCATAGTTGTTCCACACAAATAATATCGGCTTTAAAATTTAAATGTCCAGGGACTTCCTTGGTGGTCCAGTGTTTAAGACTTTGCCTTCTAAGGCCGTGGGTACAGGTTTGACCCCTATTTTGGGAGCTAAGATCCCTCATGTCTGACAGCCGAAATAACCGAAAACTTTTAAAATAGTCCACATCAAAAAAACAATCTATAAAAAAATTTATCGACTTTTAAAAAACTTAATATTCAGAGTGGTTTTCATTTTTGAAGGTATGATTTCGTAGACTCTTTTTGGTTAGGTCTGTGTCTGAGAAAGCAGTCTGTCCACCCTGCCCTCGGATGAGTCTGGGCCAGGGGCTGGGGACTCTAGGATGCTAGAGATGGAAAGGGTCTTCGAGAACGCCACTCAGAGAAGGAAAAGGAAATTCTGTGAGTTTGCGCAGTCCTCCCAGAAGGACAGATTAAAGCCCAGGTGTACAAGCCCTCTGTCAGAGCGTTCACACGGGATACGTGCCCGGCCCCATAGACACGTGGAGGAGTGCCGGTGATGCTGGAAGAATATTAGCGTGAGCCAGCAGAAACTGCTGCTCGGGAGGTCAGAAAGATCGACTCCCAGGGCTGCTCCTGGTCCCCCTGTTCTGTGAATACTCAGATCCGCGTGAGGCCACTGTGCGTTACACACAGCACGGGCAGTGTCTGATGGTCCGTGACAAAAAGTGTGGCTCAGGAGTAATGCGGGGCTGAGTGTGTCTAGGAGACCACGGGTGATGAGAGCGCTCCTGGGACGTCTGCTTAGAAGAGGCTCCAGGGCAGGAGGGAGGCGGGCCGCGTGCTTCTGAAACGGAGCCCGCCTTCAAGGGCCCTGCACTCCCCGTGGAGACGGGTGTGAGGATGCCCAGGAGATGTGAGCGCTGAGGTGCCGAGGAGCTTGTAAAATCAGCTCTGCTGTTCTTTTGGCTGTTTGTTTTTTTTCTTTCCCTTCCTGGATTAAGGACTCTTAGAAAGACATTCCCAGTTCTGACCATGGCCAGAGAAGCATGAGGAAAATGCTTTTGTTTGCTCAAGATACCGTCAGGTTCTTGATCAAAAGGGTCTGCCTGGAGATAAAACCTTATATGTAATAAATGCAGGAAAATAATATTTGAAGCCCACTTTCAAAAACTCATCTCTTTTTTTTTTTCCTAACCAAGGCATCAATAATAAGCTACTGGTTTGACTTGACTAACTCAATCTCTCTCTTGAGGTGTGGTATCTTTCTGTCTTGCTCTCTTGGCATTCTTTTTGTATCTGTCACGCCTGTGTGTGTGTGTCTGTCTGTCTGTCTGCTTGCCCTCTGTACCTGTATCTCCTCTCTCTCCCTGTCTCCCTCTCTCTGTCTTTCTTTGGTGTAGCCAGAATTTCTGACTCGGAACAGAAGTCTTCACACCGGGATTCACGTGTGGTGTCTCTTTGCTTTTCCAGTTCCTCCAGGAGTGATACAGAACGGAACGCGGGTTCTGAGCCGAGGCCTGTTCCCCGGGGTCCGGCCGTTGCCAGTCACGCCCATTGGGATGGCAGCTGTGAGGTAAGGGGCCCTGCGGGGCGAAGCCCCCCTGGGCAGCGGGATGGGCGCTCTGCGCCCACGGGCCACCTGGGGGCTGGGGAAGACCAGCCTCTGCGTGGTCAGGGCGGAAGTGACTTGGGTGTGTGAAAAAGTTAAAGGAGCACCCGAGGACTCCAATCTAGGTGCCAGCTTCTCCTTCCCGGGCCGTCAAATTACCCTGGTCTCTTTGCAGATGAGATGAGGCAAAATGGCACTGAAGTTGCTCTATTCTGAGAAGGTGGGGTAAAGTCAGCAGAAGGAAATGGTGGGCAAGGTAGTCATTAGATTCTGGGCTAACTGGTCGACCTCTAGACCCAGCCCTCTCACTTCCCAGTCCTTTCACTTTGGGTGCATGTCTGACCTCTGTGGGTTACTTCCCTCATCACTGAAGCTCCTCTGCCTTCTGGGAAGGCTTGCAATGAAACATGCAGAACAATCAGGTGTGAAAAGCGCTTCCGTGAGTGGTCTGCAAATACCAGGTGGCATCAGCTCCCCCCACTTCCGAGAATCAGCTCAGCTGCCAAACCTCACGGACTCTTGGGAGGTTTCTTTACTCCACCTTCTCAGCTCTCCTGCCAGCCCCAGGGGAGGGCCCGTCGCTCGCCCGGGAGGGAGCCTCCCTCCTGTCCTCCTTGCTGCCTCTCTGCCCACCCCTGCCCTCCCATCAGCTGTCGCCAGGCTGGCTTTCTAAAAAGGCCTCTCCAGCTGTTTGCAGAACCATCCCCGTCGACTACCACCGTCTGACCCTGACACCCTGCCGGTACCCCCCTCCTCCAGCCAGATTTGTTCTCCCCATGATCCAGTGTTGGCCCATCTTATCGCACAGTTTCCTCTATGTAGACCTCCTCCGCCTCCATGTAGAAAGCAGCACATCCTTCTCGGCCCATCACAAGAATGACCCCTTCACCAGGCCTTTCTGAGCAGGCCTCTGAGTCCGCATCAGATTAGTTTCTCCCCTTGCTTTGGGCATGGCCCTCTGGTGAGTGATGCTGTGTGTGTCCCCTCTGTCCTATGTGGTTGGCTTGCTAAGGACAAGGGCTGGCTCTCACTCGCTTGGCTGAGGCCTCGTCGCACGTTCAGTGTTGGGCCCTGATTGCTTGTTCAGAAGAGACCTGCCGTGCTGGGCTGCGTCCCTTCACGACACTGGATCCCAGCTTCTTTCCAGCACTTCTGGACCAAGTTCACACCTGAAGGCCATCTCGCTTTCCTATTGTTTCATGTCCCAAAGGAAACCATCCCAGGAAGTGTGTTGATGGGGACTTGAGGGGACTACAGGCTCAGGCTCTGTGATGGGAATCAACCGTGTGGAGATTCTCCGCTCACTCCTAGTCTTGTTTGTATTTTAACTTTTGGCTGCATATGGGGGATCTTAGTTCTCTGACCAGGGATCCAGCACACTTCCCCTGAGTTGGAAGCACAGAGTCTCAACCCCTGGACCACCAGGGAAATCCCTCACTTGTGTCTTTTAACCCTCCCAGCAAACCAGCTGCTTTTGCCAGAGTTGTTATTTTTCAGACGGTAAGTCATGTTCGACTCTTTGCAACCGCATGAATCGCAGCACACCAGGCCTCCCTGTCCATCACCAACTCCCAGAGTTTACTCAAACTCATGTCCATCGAGTCAGTGATGCCATCCATCTCATCCTCTGTAGTCCCCTTCTCTTCCCACCTTCAATATTTCCCAGCATCAGGGTCTTTTCCAATGAGTCAGCTCTTCGCATCAGGTGGCCACGGTATTGGAGCTTCAGCTTCAGTCCTTCCAGTGAATAAATAAGTAAGTAAGTGTTAGTCGCTCAATCGTGCCCGACTCTTTGTGACCCCATGGACTGCAGCCCACCAGGCTCCTCTGTCCATGAGATTTTTCAGGCAAAGATACTGGAGTGGGTTGCCATTTCCTTCTCTAGGGGATCTTCCCAACCCAGGGATCGATCCCAGGTCTCCTGCGTTGCAGACAGATTCTTTACTGACTGAGCTACAAGGGAAGCCATGAATAAGTCAAGGTTGATTTCCTTTAGGCTGGACTGATTCGATTTCCTTGCAGTCCTACCTTCAGAGCAGATGCTGGTATTTGGAACCTACTGAGGAGGGAAGTTGGTAGGAATTAGAATAGTAATTGTATGATAAAGCCAGTTATCACTTCTGCTAACCAGACATGGCGATACTTTCCAATAATGTGGAAAGGTTCTTTTTCTTGTGCTCCTCCCGTATCTTTCTTAGATATCTTGAGATCAGTAATTTATGACCTTCAGTTCATGAATGGTAAGCCTCTTCCTTCGAGCCAAAATAGCTATGCCTTGGCCTCCCATTATGAGAGAGACATTCTCTGTCTTCTGTTCTTGCTTAAAATCACTTCTGCCTAACCTCATTTACCTTTCTGGTTAGGAAGACAAAGACTCTCCTCACATGCAGTAAAGATCTCCTTTCATGTGCAGATACTAAGCGTAGACTTCCGGTTTATTGTTCTTAGCATCTTTTCAGTAACTTTTAAGCAAACGGAGCTCTCCCTGTGACTCCAGCCGTTCCCTGGGAGAAGGGAAGAGCCAGGCAGAGGGAAGGGAAGAGCCAGGCAGAGGGAACGGAGGCCTGAGACTGCCCTGGCTTTCAGCAGGAGCTGCCTCCTAATTTTATTACCCTCATGGCATATATGATTGCTGACTTTCAGAGATTAGTACCCTCTAGAGGTATTATCTAAAATACTGATCTTTTTAAGCTGGTTATATTTTGGTTAGAGGGCAGCACAGCACTGTTGTCGATGTTGTAGTTCCGTTGCTCGGGCGTGTCCGACCCTTTGTGGCTCTTTGTGATCCCCTGGACCGCAGCACGCCAGGCCTCCCTTTCCCTCACCATCTCCGGGAATTCGTTCACGTTCATGTCCACCAAATTGGTGATGTTATCGATAGCACTGCAGCAAGACAGTGATATCTTATTTCTGGTCAAAGAGCTGCTACTCATCCATTCCAGCCAACACCTCGCTTAGGCCCCTTCCGCAGTAAAATTCCACAAGCAGTTCCCGGGTCTAGACGTGTGTGTCCGTCAGGTCCAGCTGGGAGAGACAGAAGCCACACTCGGGACTTGAACAGGGAGACTTCAAAATAAAGAACCGTCAGCCCGGTAGAGAGTTATTAACCAGGCGACTGGAAGAGAACTCGGGGTGTTAGGGAGGGAACAACGGCAGGAAGCAGCCACATCCCCGCGGGTGAGGTTTGCATGATTGCCCCTCGAGGCCGGGTCTCAGAGCTCCCAGGAGCAGCCCGGGCTGGGATCCAGGCCTCCTAGGAGGAGCCAGGCGGGCGCGGACAGGTGGCGGGCGCGGAACACTGCAGGCGGCCCGGGGCTGCAGCTCTGCATGCCCGTCCGCTCCAGAAGCACGCAGACCCGAGCAGCAAGCTTCCCCAGCGTCACCCGAGGTCCGAGCAGAATCCTCTCGGTAAGAGGAACAGCCGCCGTGTGTAGAGACAAGCTCCCATTTGTACAAACAGAGAGAAAACCACAGTGTGTTAGCCATTATCCCAACACCAGCTCTGCACTTTCCACCTCAGCTTTGGGAGACTTCAGGGAGAGGAAGGTCGCAGGCTCCAGAAGGTCAGGGACCCTCGCTTATAATACCTTTCCTTCCTTATGGCCCAAGTGCCTGGCAAATAGGTGGTGCGACACCTTCAGGAAAAGTGAACATAAACACAACCATGTGGGTATTTGAGGGGGACTGTGTAAACCCATGAAGACGTGTTTAGGGAGAGGGAAAATCCTGTTTTGCGCTTTCACCTTCATTGTAATTGAAATTTCTTTTTTTTTTTTATTTGGCCTTGTGTCAGTTGAACCTAGATTCAGCTGAGGTTAAAGGGAAAACAGCCCAGCAGAGACCAGAACGACAGCAGACATCGTCTGCCAGACCACGTGGCGGTGACCCGGGGTCCCTGGGGGCTCCTGTGTTGCGGGGCTGGCTGCCCCATCCGCTCAGCGGGGCTGGCAGGAGGGCCAGAGGTCATTACAGCCCCCTGAAGACCTGTCTCCTACCCTGCTGAGTGTGGCAGGCTTTCTGTGTGAGCCTAAGTAACTTCTCCTTAAGTAAAAATATTTGTCTTTCGGGGATTTGTTGGGCTTTTTTTTTCCCCTCTGCTGAGTGCCAAAGGCCATGTTTGTTTGTCTTAACTCTGAAACTGTTATTGACATAGATGAAGTGTTACTTTTATTAGCTGATCACTACACAGCTTGTATTTGCTGGGTTCCTTTGCATGTAATTATGATGTGAAATCTCCTTGTAAGAGTATCTGTCAATAGTGTAATTGACTTTACCGTGTTGACTTTTTACTCAATAACCTCAGGGATCGGCCCATCCTTAGACATTGGAAACCTGCTTATTTTTTAAATTTGCCTAGGCGAGGGGTCCTTAAGACACATTATCCTCAAAATAACCGCTCCCACTTCTCCAAGTTTTATGCGTGTTCTGCTGCCTCTCCAGTGAAATTCCTTGCAGGGAATACATTTGAATGGAACAGTTCTAGCCCTAGAAGAACTGTTTCTGGATCTCTTGGGAAAATGCAGTGTAAGATTTCTTCCATTCATGGAACTAGGGGCTGCTTCTCAACTACAAGCCACAGCAGCTCTCCTGGGTCTGAGCCGCCTTGTTTCCGAGGCTTGAGGCTCTTTGACCTTCAGCGACCTTTCAGGTGGCGAAGAACAACTACCAGCGTCGAGGCTTGCCGGAGGATCGAGAGAGAGCTGGTGGGCGCGCTGTCCTCCACGTCAGACTGTGTGATCACTCACGTCCAGCTCACACCGCCCCAGGGACTGAAGCCCACCAGGCTCCTCTGTCCTGGAATTTTCCAGGCAAAAATTCTGGAGTGGGTAGCCCTCTCCTCCTCCAGGGCATCTTCCCAACCTAGGGATTGATCCCACATTTCCTGCGTCTCCTGCGTTGCGGGTGGGTTCTTCACTGCTGAGCCGTCGGGGGAGCCTTTCATAGGTCAAGAGAGCTCAGAAATT